CCCTTGCCTGAGACCTCTTTCAAGGTGAAAGTAGCTAAACTGCTCATTGTTTAAAATGAAAGAGTAAGAGAATGTAGAGACACATTGCATGACTCTATCTACCCATCTTTGATCAAAAACTCAGTTTTAACATCATATATTCCAAAAACACCCACTAAATCCTATCGTAGGCCTTACACATATCTAGTTTCAATGAAAAGGGACCCGCCTTTTTCTCAAAAGCTACCAATACATTATTAGTAATGAGTCTGCCAGGCACAAAGGCTCCTTGGTTTTCAAAGATTATTGAAGGAAGGATCAGTTTTAGTATGTTTGCTAGGACCTTAGATATGGCTTTGTAGACCACATTACAAAGACTGATTGGGTAGAATTGGGTTATTTCTTCTGGATTGGAACTTTTTTGGTATGAACAAATGTTGGTGTAATCCAACTTCTCCGGAAAATGGCCACAATTAAGGAAGGATGGGATATAATGAAGGACATTTGGGCCACCTATTTTTTAAAATTTGGGGCTTAGCGAGGCCGGTACCTCCCAAAAAATTTAATAGGATAAAAGTACACTTTTTAAAATAATTGGGATAGAAGTACATATGCTAAAAAATAGTCATAAAAGTCATTTTACCCCTAACATAAATAGTGCATATCTAATTGAATGTGAAACTTTCAAGATTAGAATGTGAAACTTTCAAAATTTCTTTTGATATATATATATATATATATATATATATATATATATATATATATATATATATATATATATACACACACACACACATGTAATACAGTGACATCAAACAGTGATACGCTCAATAAAAAAAGAATAACACATTCAACAAAAAAATAGTAACATCAAACAGTAACACACTCAACAAAAAAATAGTAACATCAAATAGTAACACAAATATTTGTTTTGAGCGTGTAACTGTTTGATGTCACTGTATTACGTGTGTGTGTGTGTGTGCGCGCGCGCGCGCGCGTGCGTGTATATATATATGTTACTCTTTTTTTGTTGAGCGTGTCACTGTTTGATGTCACTGTATTACGTATGTGTGTATATGTATATGTGTGTGTGTGTGCGTGCGTGCGTGTATATATATATATACACACAAAATTTCAAAATTCAAATGATACACAAATATCAAAAGGAATCTTGAAAGTCTCACATTCAAGTAGGTATGTACTATTTATGGTAGGGGTAATTATAGAATACATTTTAGAAAGAATTTGAAAATGTTTTAAAATGTGTATTTATTGACAACTATTTGATAAAAAAAATGACTTAAAAGAGGATAAGTTTGGAGGTGGTACTCAAAGCCAAATAAATTTTGAAAAAGGTACTCACATCCCATTATCTCTTAAAATTTTTGAAAGAAAAGGGCTAGTATCCTATCGAAAGATTTGCATAAGCCTCGTATTCATTGCATCTATCACTTTGTGAACCACCTCCATAATTATAACTTCCATGTCAGAAGTTTGGGGCTTAGTTGTTGAGAACAAATTTTTAAAATATGATTCCATAACCCTTTCCAACTCTTGGTTATCAGCGCACCATCCTCCCTATTCATTCCTTAATCTGCAAATTCTGTTCTTTGTTGTCTATTAGTCGCACAGGCATGAAAAAATGATGTATTTCGGTCCCTCTCTTTTAGCCACTGGATGAGTGACCTTTGCCTCCAATATGCTTCTTCTATGTCCAAAGTCTCATCCAACTCCTTTTGACATCCTTTGCTCTTTTCATATCTTCTTCTATCATTGTCCTTTGCCTTAGAAGTTCAAATTCTGTTTTTAGCTTACTGGCTATGAGCCTCAAATTTCTTAAGCTATCTTGGTTCCATCTGAGAAGTCCTATTCCGCAATTTTGGATGTTCTTGAAAAAGGCTTCCTCTTCCTCTTGCCCATTAGCAATACACCAATTATTCTTAATTACCATTTCACAATCCATTCACTTCACCCTATACGCTTCAAATTTAAAAGACTTTCTTCCTCCCTAACCCTGAAGATTCCCAGGTTTCTTTTATGTATCCAACATCAATTGGTAGTGATCTGATGCTTGGTTGAAAATATGGTGTACTACTGTTTCTGGGAATTTTTCCCTCCACCATGTATTGACGTAGGCTCTGTCTAATCTTTCTCAAACTGTATTCGGCGTCGGTCGGTTGTTACACCAGGTGAAAGGGTACCCTTTGAACCGCAAGTCTTCGAGAAAACAAGAATCAAGTGCCTCCCGAAAGGCTCTTATTTGTCAATTCGCCTTCAGGGGCATACCTTTCTTCTCGTTGTGTGACACAATCTCGTTGAAGTCTCCTATATATAGCGATGGTAGATGGCTCTCTGCTCCTAACCGAGCAAGCACATGTCATGCTTCGCTCTTGCTAACTACTGGTTCACCATACAATCCCGTAAGTCTCCACTCACCCCCGTCATCTTGATTAACTACCACATCTGTATGTCTGTGTAAGAAGCTTCATAGAGTCACACTTAAATTCTTTTGCATTAATAACGTCAATCCTCCTAAATGGCCGCTCGAATTAATGCCCACTCCATTCATACGCATACTCATCTTCAGTCTTATCAATTCTCACCGAGTTAAACTTTGCCAACACTAGGAAGACAAAGTCGGGCCTTTTGTTCCTCATGAATTTGTGAAGACTATGGGCCGTCCGAGGGTGTCCGATCCCTCGGTAGTTGCAACTTAAGGTTTTCATGGAATTAGGTAGGCGTAGAGATTGAGACTTGTATCTGGGTCGTGGCTTGTGTATCCTAATAGGCGTTGTCCAACCCATTTCCAACTTTCTTTAGGCGTTCTGTGGCTAGCCCTTCGAAAGATTCTTCCTTCCCTTGGGCTTTTAAGGTAGATGGGCTTCCCGCTTCTTTTAAATTTCATTGACACCTATTGACTTTGTTCAATCGCTTACAGAGCGGGTTTTACTTCCTAAGACATCTTCTTTCTCCTCAATCGATGGTATTCCTTTCTACTCGATGAGAAAACCATCAATCTTGAAAGGTAATTTATCGTTGCCCTCAATTATTGCATCCCTTCTCTCATCCACGTGACTGATAGGATTTTCATTCTCTACATCACCCCCGAGGCCTATTTCATCACTGGCGTTACCTATTTCTACGGCCATCGGGACTGGCCTAGAAGTTTCTATGTTTTTATGCTTCTTCTCCATCGATACTCTTAACCAAGGACCATAATGGGAATCAACTTGGCTAGGCATTCTCTTTCCCCATGCCCTATTCTGCCATAATAATAGCAGAAATTCGGCAATCTCTCATATTTGAAGAAAACTATAATTGGTAAACCTTCAGTATTATGTAGAATCATACCTCTCAACAGTGGTTCGTAACATCAATGTTTACCCTTAGTCTCAAACATCTGCCCTATCCGGTGCCATCCCTGCTTAGCTCCATATCGATCAACTTTCCCATCTTTCCTCCTATTATTTCCCCAGTGGTTTTACTCATAGTGTTGAGGGGAAGATTATACACTTGAACCCTTAGTGGGTACCATCTAAACATAATATTTTACGATTGTATTGCTCCATTTTAATCCAACATCATCACCAAATTGTCGTCAAAAGTCCACGGCATTCCCTCCATCACCCTCCTCTTATCCAACCAATTGTCAAATTGGATTAAGAAAAGGCTGTCAGCCAAGTCCTTGATATCAACACTACCCACCTTCCAAACCAATTTCATTGTGCTTTTGAAAGCTGCCATGTTGAATTACTTTGTTAAAAAAATTTCCCAATCAAACAAAGTTTCCCTTTTTATTCTGTTTTCTAATCTATTCGAGAATTTATGTGCACCACGGACTTTTTTTCTTCTGTAAGGTTGTACGTACTCCACTGTTTCTCTATCTCATCATCCATTTTGTTTCCCTCTGTTTATCTCCTATGGATGCTAGCCCAAGAAAGGAGATCACAAAGCGGCAACTACGTCAGAACACGAAACCTACAAATAAGTAAGGTTAAAAATAAAATAGGAGAGGATTAAGAACTGTGGTTTAAGGTGACACTCGTAAATGTTTAAGATGAAAAGGAGAGAAACAAGAGCCTTCAATAGAAGAGATTCCTATGAAAGACGGCGACTCTGTCCTAGCAAAGAAACGAAACCCCAACTGGAGAGGACTTAGATACCAAGAGAATCACACGAATCATTGTGCATTGGATATAATTTTTTGTGATAGGTTAATAGCATTTTTAGTTATGATTGTTTTGTCAGTTTAATTTTCATTGTATTAATTTATTAATTTAGTTCTTAAAGTTTCAATTCATATCACTTTGTTCTATAATCAGACAATTCGTCAAGTTTTTTTTTATGAAAGTGACTTCGTGTCATTTTTTGAGATGATATCACGTGTCCTACAAGTGATCATTTCGTCAAAAATTTAATGATCCGTCTATGTAAGGATCATTTAAACATGAATTGAATACATTATGGATCAAATTAACAAAATATGTATACTTTAAAAATCAAAAATAATATTAACCATTAGATTTTGACTATATTATGGAGGGCTGGTTTCAAAATATTAGAATACTTGCTTCATTGATTGATGCTACAAGAAGGTCTACTTCCACGCTCTATTATTGATTTGTATGTCAACTTCCTAAATAGGCAATGATTGGGTTTCTTTACAAGTTGTGATGGTTGCGGATTGCTCTAGAAAGGTGGAAGCTTTCCATATACAGGACTGTAACTGGTTTTCGACTTGGCCAGAGGAAAAAAAAATTGTAATAGAGTAAAGTATATATGCTTAGACCCAAGTATTATACCTTGGGTTGCGCATTGCTGTGAAATTATCCACCATCTCACATTACACTGTGAACTATTGGTTTAAATTTTGCATTGCCAACCCAATTGTCTGCTTATTGTACATTTTTTGATAGCAAATCAGATCAAAAAAAAATTCGTGCAGCTGATGAGAGAAAAGTCCATCTCCTACCATTGTGAGATCTTAGTTTTGCCTTGATTTGTTATGAAAAATTGGACAAAACAACATTTGGAGCAATGTAAAACTCAAATTAATAGCTCAATATGCAATGTGAAAAATAAATAGTTTAGGCGCAATGTAAAAAAACAAATATTTTAAGTAACAATGTTAAACGAGAGGCAATTCAGACCTATTACAAGAGAATCTTGGGTAATGAATGATTATGAGTGCAGGTCAACCGTTAGGTCATCTAGGCCTCCACATTAGAAAAGACCCCAAATTTTCTTTAATAATGGGTTTGACTCTCTTTCAATTATCAAATAATTAAAGGGTGCCTCAATTATAAAATCTTCTTCTTTTGGTTTTGGAGGGCATCTCTCTTTCTCTCTTTGGTTAGACAAATAATATTTAAAAACTACGTATTACTATATCGATATATGAAATTACTTATAATTATTATCGTCTCTAACATAAACCAACAAAGCAATGACTCTGAGCCTTACACACAAAAAGGTCTCAAAATTTATGTATATCAATAATATAGTCTAATCGAGAAGTCTGAGTCACATATTAATCCCACAAAGAAGGCCCATGAAAGTCCAAGTCCCAAGAAAAAGATTAAATGATTATTATTGTATCTTTTTATTTATAAATGTTTTTATTTGAAAAAAAAAATTAAGAATCCTCACTAACCAAACTCTTTCTCTGAAAAAGAAAAAAATAATCAAGTCGGCCCTGATTTTGGGTCTCAAACATATAATGTTTTGCTAGTTCCGTGATATTTTAAAATATTTTGTTTCATTCCTTGAGGCAAGTATAAAATTTTGATTTAAAAAACAATCATTTTTTAGTATTTTTATTGGTGATAGGTCGGCATCGATACCATAATGCTTAGATTTTCTCTGGCAATTTTGCAAACTTACGATTGCACTTCATTTCACTACTTGTACCAAAAACATACCTATAACTGGTGGCACTCGTTTAATACATGTCATGCACGTAGCCACGCCACTAGCTAAGGTCCATAATGGGTCGGGCCTACCCGATAGTCCATGGAATGGGTGTTGACTGATAAATGGGACGGCCCATCCAGAAAATTTTGGCACATGATCTGGTAATCGTGACAATCGTAATGGAGTCATCTTTTCCAAGTTGAACGTTTATAATTTTTCTTCAGTTTGATGGACCAATGGATTGACGTGCATCACCATGATGGGCCAAGATTGTGACTCTCAGCCCTACCCATTGGCCACGGGCCCGTTGTCGAGGTTAACCAATCATAAGTATCCTCAGATGGTTTGTCGGCGAAGCATCCACATACCTAAAGGTAGGCTCCATAGCAGGGTAATTTATTGTAAAATAGACGTGTTTATTTCTCTAGATTAAAACTAAGTGCAAAATATTTTAGGCCGATTTGTTTTTAAAGCTTTCCATAAATCTTTTTGCATTAAAACTAACCCCAAGTTTTCAATTTTCACTTAGTTTGAAGGGGTAAACAATAGGAAGATAAATAAATTTTTGAAAACTATAGATCATCGTTCTCCGAATCCTAGCAGGGTCAACAAGCAATAATAAAATAGAAAAATAATAAAAGCAATGCTATTGGGACATAATTGAAAGACATAATTTCAGGACATAATGAGTTACCACCAATGATATGATAATGAATTTATTAATGCTACAATGGGACCCATTATTAAATGCATTTTACTATTATTTCATTGGTGACAATTCATTATGTCCCTAAATTATATCCTTCAATTATGTCACAATAGCATTAGTAAAATAATAAACTCGCCATGATTGTTCACATTACAAGATTTTAGTAGTTAATACCTTGAAATATTGAGTTCGAATCCAGTACGACATGCTCTAATTGATCCATTGCATGTTGTTTACAGTTAATTACATATATTTCAATTTTCGTGATATTTATGTGTCATTGGGATAGTTTTCACTTTTCAGTTATTGAAACAAATGAGGATGACTAATACTATATAATTCAAATGAAACTCAAAAAGTTTCAACCCAAATGCATATAATTCTTTAAATGAGTAAGTCTCATCAATTTTTTCAGTGGAGTCTATAACGACAAATTTCATGATGCAATATAACACAAAATAAGGTTAAATTACAATAATCAATTTAATTGACTTTAAGTAAAAAATATAGCGTTAACTCTCTTTGGAGTGCTTCTTACGTATATTATTCTCTAATTCTCAATGAATTGATAATGAGGGCCGGATCGGCATATTTCTTGATTTTTGATTCGGTAATACTTTGGTCGATTTGTTGAAAACGAGAGTCGGATTGACATGGTTCTCATTCTTTGATCTTTGACTTGATTTTGTCAAATTTTCTCACTGTTCTTTGTGTTAAATGATTTATAGATGATTTGGATCTCTTGAAAAAGGACTTTAGCTGTGTTTTTTCTCCTTAGAGATAGATTTGTTAAACCTCAGTTGAGGATAAACTCTGGTAGAGCTTCTC